TATATATATATATATATATATATATATATATATATATATCTAGGGAAAAGATGGAATTAGCCCACTAGCTCATATGAACATATGAGCCCAACGGCCCAGATTGAATCTGGGCCGATCTAACGATCACGGATGTCCGATAGTGTTTGAATTTTTTTTTTTTTTTAGACATCCAAATCACTTGAAATTTTAGGTGTCTGTTCATCAAAAATAGGTGAATCTTTGAAAAATATCAAAAAATATTTTACATAAAATAAATTGACTAAAATACCCCCAAAAAGTTTCAGGGGGTATTTGGTCATTTTACTTTTCACGGATTAATTTTTTATATATTTTTATTAGGTGCGCCTTGATGAGAACACACACCTAATATTTCAAGTCATTTAGATCTGTATAAAAAAAATTAAAATTCAAACACTACCAGATATTTGTGATCGGCCCAGATTGGGCTCATATATTCATATGAGCTAGTGGGCTAATCCCAGCTTTTTTCATATATATATATATATATATATATATACAAACATATAAATGGGGCGCTCACCCTGCTCCCATACACATGTAGATCATATATAGGGGATTGCTCCAAGTTTGCTCCCTGAGAAGGGATCCCATGTGCTCCAAGGGTAAGGAGCTTCAGCCAAGGGTCGATCCAAGCACCTACACCTGCTCCAAAGAACTATGCTCGCCCCGAGTCCATCACAGGGCCAAACGCCTTAGAGAAAATATAATTGAAAAAAATTAAAATAAAGGTAATAAAAGTAAAATAACACCAAAAGCAACCTTAAAGACCCAAATAATCTTAAAAATGTAGAGAAAAAATGGATTTAAAAAAATTGATTTATAATTGGGGACGTTCTATAAAAATCCAAAAGAACGAAATATATATAAAAATAAGGATTATGGCAAAAAACACTCACCAATCTTTGCCAAAAAATCCAAATTATGTACAAAAATGTTATACAATATTCCCATAACTATTCTTTTGGATTTAAGAAAAAAACAATTTATGCGCCCGATGTTGTACATACGACTCGCGGTAACTCAGCCTCGCCACAAGGGTGGTGAGACCAAGTTGCTTGCCCGAGTCCAAGTCTTGTAACACTTATTCTAAATTGATGATCATCATTATGATTGAGATTAGCAAACCCTAACATTTTGAATCCAAAATCCTTCTTTAAGATGGATTATCAAGGGAGACGAAAAGCGAAGAAAAACAAATAGCTTGAAACTAGAAACTTGAAACTAGATACTTGAAACTAGCTTCTTTAAGATGGATTATCAAGTTTCTAGTTTCAAATAAAATGAGATGAAAAGCGAAGAAAAACCTCATTGAGCAATCATCAACAAACTAGTCATAAAAATTTCTATTGTCATTGCAATAAACTGGCTATGCGAACAGTCCTATACATCACAAAATCATATGTGATACACAAAATTGCCCATATATGATGAAAGTTATGATAGCATTAAACTTTATCTGTCCCATCGTGTCATGTATTTAAACGAATAAACATGGATCCCTGAAATTCAGGATAAAAATGAAATCCAACGAAAAGTATGAACTTGACTATAACAAGAATTATAGTAGAGTTGGAACAGAACCCATTGCATTCACCATTACAAAAAAAGGTATCATAGAGATTGGAAACAGAACCCATTGCAATCACCAATTACAAAAGAAGGTATCACAAAGATTGGAAACAGAACTCATTGCATTCACCCATTACACCACCAGTCCAAAGCACAGGTTCATAGTATGCTAGGAGCAGCCAGATCACAGCATAATGGTGAAAGAAAAGAAGGCAACATAACCATTCAGGCGTGACGAGATTTTTTTGCTTAAACTTTCAGAGAGTATGACCATTAATAAAAAACACAAGGTTTAGAAATATTCCACCCAAAAAGCATATCATACCTTAGATTTGAGAGTTACTAAGAGTTCGCCTACCTGGTGGGTATTTGGATCAATGTCAAAGACTCTGGTTGGGCTACTTTCAACCCATTCTCTTTTCTCGTCAAGTGATAATGTTTCCATTAAATCGTCATTGATGTGAATCTCTGGTTCGTACATAAAAGTTACTGTTGCACCTGGTGACCATTTCGCATGGTCTTTACCAATACCCTTTCTAGCTATAGCTCTAAGCCTCAATTCTTGCCCACGGCGCAGCTTGACAATTATAATACCCCTAGAGCACAATTTAACCATCATCCCCACTGGGCATGGATCTCAAGCAGCATGTCATCAAAGCATGAGCTTCTAGAAGCTAGCAAAATTATATGCCATAAAAGGTAGTGATATGCAGGAGTTATTAATGACAATACATTGAAATTTGTATGAAAAGATACCCTATGATGGTCTCAATTACAACAGTTTTCAGGATGCTCAAGAAAGAAGGTACATAATGTCACACATGATTATGCATAAACTTCATCATAACAGCAACATAGAAGAAAAATAAGAGCTCAACACCAAGAAACAACATATGAAAATATTTCAGAAGTAACAACTGTACAAAATCCTAGAGAAAATTTTATGTTAAAAGCATGATAATACATCAAAGCAACAGCTAAAACAGAAATCAAATTGATTAATATGAATCAATTCAATAAATTGCACCTTCTAGGTTATTTGAAATAAAATCAAATTGGTAAATGGCTTGATAAGCTCATACAAATGTTTGACACTAATATTTTGTTCAACTTGGTCAAACCTAGATTATTATTCCAGTAAATCTAGCTTACTCTACCTCTAGGGTTAAATGGAAAGAGCTTTCCTGTATGCTGTTTTTGAGCCATTATCTGACAGTATAGTCTTTAAGAGCTCGGTATATCTGAAGTTTAGAATAGGTTAACCAGATGGTCGATCCAGCTCTAGTAAAAGAAACAACAGCATTCACTAAATGAAGAGGCGTTCTCCTGTTTGCTACAAGCTCTACCATGTCAATCTCCACTAGAACGAAGACATGATATGAAGTTGCAAATCGTAGAATCTAAACAATGTGCGTAAAAAAATGATCTTCACACGTTATCAGCCTCATTAGAAGTATGAAAAAGTATTTTGTGCATCAGGGGACACAGTTCCACAGCAGCATCCCATGTGCACCAAACCTCTAGCTTAAAGATGGATGTGAAAAATTGTAGCCCCACCAAAAACTAAAATGGATAATGTCAAAAAATATCAGAAAAATACCATTTTTTAGTTTTAAATTTATTTCCTTTTTTCAGATTCGTACCTCATAAGTATATGACTAACCGAATTCCGTAGGACTTGTAATTTTCATTCTACCCCGAGTACAGGTATATAGCCTAATACAAAAACACATTTCTGTATATTTACATAACTAAAAATGTATTTCTGTTGATATCCCTCTCAAACTACAGAATCAATCCAAAAAATGTGAACATTTGTACACTACATATGGATGTTTATCCATAATTAATGACTTAGCTATTTGCAACCTGCTCCAAGGAAGTGACGCAAGGAAGACTTACAATGAGATTAAGCAACCTATCTTGGATTAAGTGACAATCAAACCCAATGTGCTTCGGCTTTCATGGAACAAACGGTTAGAAGCAAATTGAACATACTGATGATACCACAGCAGAGGGTTTAAACTGTAAGGATTCATCAGTAGCCAAGGTCAGCATGTAGGAGGAGCTTCTATTTATGAAAAACTAGATAGGATATTGGTTTCAAATCAATCGGTCACTTCTTTCCCTACTTCTAGAGTAAACTGCCCTGAAAAACCTTCTTCTAAGCCCATAACGAACTACGGACCACCACCTCATCATGCTAAAAGTAAATGAACTCATTGACTGGGAGCTAAACTTTTCAAAAATTTTAACATGTGGTTTGAACACAAAGATAAAGGAATTTAAAAAACAAATACTGGTATGAGATAAAAGGTTGTGTTATGCTTAGAGGTTCACATAAAACTTGAAAACATAAAATATTCCCTTACAAATGGAATTTAGATATCTTTACAGGTCCACCTCAAAGTCAGGCAACTAAATAAAGCTAGACAAGATACAAGAACAGGTTGAGTTACACCCAAGTAACCTTGAATTTTATGGTGAGTTGAACCCATAAGCCTTTGCAATGTGATCTACAAGGTCATCAGCAAAATCATTGTTAATAGACTTAAGTGGTGTTGACCCACACCATAAGCCCTAATCAAAGTGCCTTTCACAAAATTGAAGCATTTCCAAACACGCTTTAAATTGAACGTATCCATGGCTTAAAAAAAACAAATCTGTCTTCCTAAAAATTTACATCCATAAGGCCTTTGACAAAGGCAATTGGGAATTCTTAATAAATGAGCGTCAAAGGTATGGATTTGGAGAAAATTTTATAAACTAGGCTAAAATGTGTATCACAACACCATAATATGTCATTTCATCCGTGGTACATCTTTTGACTCTTCTAAGGTAAAAATGGGATTGGTATTTTAAGGGTAAAAAACGGGCTTCAATAAGAGATCCCTATCTCAAAACCTCTTTCTCATAGCCATGAAATGTTTTTATCAAGCTTATTAAAAGGAAATTGAGAATGAGAAGTGCCAATCACCTGAAACCCTAGAGTTAAAACAACCCCTCCCATCTTCGCTATGCTGATGACCTTGTCCTACACCAACATGCCAATCCATAACACATCCTTTACTGATGTATTTTTTCAATTTCACTACCTATAAAAAACATGAATAAGTCATTTCTTAAAATGAAACCTCTCGGATTTACCCTCAACATATCTAGGTTTACCACTTCTCCTAGGTAGACTTACCCCCACTCTTTGCCAACCCATCAATGATAAAACTATGTCCAAACTGAAGGATGGAACCTAGAAACACTTCCATACCCCATGAGACTCACCTCATGCCTTCCCCCAATCCAAAACCATTGGTTTTCCATCCTCAGATTACCCTCCACCAAAATCAAAAGAATCAAAAACATCAATTTGTTATTACTAGCTAGACTTGGACAGGAATTGGCTACCAAAAAAAAATCCATATGGACACAATTAATTAAAAAAGAAATCCATATGAAATTCATAAATAGATGGAAGGGAATCTTATGCTTAGAAGGAATAAAGAAACACTCCCACTAACAAAAGGAATAGCAGCCAATGGTTCACAAAAGATGGTTCTAAAATTGGTTTTTTCTATGATCCTTTGCCAAACAAGGAGTCCTTGTATGGGATACATGGGGAAGAAAGCATCAGGCCCTGAAAAATCCCCAACCATCTCTCAAAATTTGGGAAAGAAATGCATTCCGAATTTCTCATCATATAAGTGGGAAAAAGGGGGCTTAGAAGCTCATAATAGGAAAGGCCTCCTACCAATGGAGAAATATGGGCTAATCAAGGGGTGCAATGGATGCAATTTATGTAATGCTGAGATTGAAGATTGTGATTATCTTTATATATAAATGATTTGGTGAGTGAGATTTGTATTCCCCATCTTCCTTTTTTTTGAGTGAAGTTAATGATTGTATTACTGGAAGGGTATCAGAAATACAAGGGGAGGACCAAAGAGCACCCGCAGACAGGTTCTCTCGGGTTATCTTCATTCATCGAGGCTAGGGTCCAGAGGTTGAGTCAGGCAAGTCAAATCAGCTCAGTCTCAATGAGACTCAGCTAAGTTATCACAAAAAAAGTATTATAAGGGCCAAATTGTGTAAGAAACAGGAGAGACACGATATTTACAGAGGGCCCGTCTGGATCTCAAGGCGAGTATACTTGGGCAAGTCCGGATTGAAGTTGCCAAGTTTTAAACAGCATCTATGACCATCAAATTCCAGGGAGAGAATAAATGTGTATCATTATAAGCTGATGCAGGAAAATTTGAGGGAACAATAAAATCAGCAAAAAACAAAGCCAAACACAAGTACAATTCAAATAAACCTAGGGTTTCTTCTCCACACGCCAAGCTAAGGTTCCAAAAGCCTAAACTTTTCTTTCTTTCAATTTCTAAAAATCATGTGGAATTGACCCCCTCAAGGCTCCACACACCTCTTTTTATAATTTCATGTTTCACGTACAACAAGTATCCAAACAAATAATATATTGACACATATATCCTAACTTAACTTAAAATTCATAATAAAAGTTTTACCCCTATGAACAGTAACCATAAAAAGTACTTATGAAGTAAATAAAAAAATAAAAACCCTAGAATCCCTAAAAAACTAGAAAAACCTAGAAATAAACCCTAAAACTAAAACTATAATAGGCATCCTTTAAAGTTGAATAACAATAAAATATATGAATAATTTTTCCCTCCATTATAAGCTTAGTTAACAACATAAAGGTCTCCTCAAAATCGGTATGTCCTTTAGTGACCGAGTGTTACACCAGTTGAGGAATCTATCGTCTAAAATATAGTTTTAGTTTTTCTCAAAAGATTAGTGGTGCGATTGGCGCCCTAGGTGTGGTGTTGTAATTGTCAACACCCTCACCATTCAAGCCCTGTGACGAAGCCCAATTAATCAGCTAAATTCTTGACTGCTACTTTACACCGATAAGTCTCTTACCAGCACAAAGTGGGAAAAAGTCCCAAGTATGATTCAACTCAAGCATTACACTTTCCCCTTAAAACCAAGTATGATTTCACCCAAATGCAGCAATTTTTCAATTGAGAATATACTCTGATGAGCATACTCAAAACATCCATAGAAATAAATGCTTGTAGCTGAACAATGAGAAGCCACCAAAAAAAATAATGTTTATAGATATAAGGAATCAGAACCATAGAATACATGATTTCAATCAAAACCACATTATTCAAAAGTTGATGAAACACAAGATGAAAGCAAAGGGAAAATACATGACATTACAATTCAACTGATCATTTATGAGGTAGTGGCTGTGAGTTGGCAAAGCTTTTCAAAGCTAAATGATATATTGCATCTAGTTCTCACATGACAAAAAAGTCAATAGACTGTAAGTAACAAAGTCAGAACTATAGTTAGCAAGTCGGGGACTATCAATAAATCGGCTCACCATAAAATCGAAAACAAGTAGTTTTTATTTTAAAAAGCTGGATGAAAAAATTGGGTAAAAAATACAGATTGGCAAAACTACCTCATATAAAGATATAGCTAATATATCGGATAAATTTATAATATTAGAAAATTTGAAATTCTAAAAAATAAACATGATGTCAAAGCCATCAATAACTAATTCATCCAT